CCGGCCCTGCCCAGGTGTCCATCGTGGACAGCGGCGTCCGCGGCACCATCGCCGTGGGGCTGGTCCCGCACTGCCACAGCCTCGAGCACCCCCCGGGATGGGGGCCCGGCTCCGTCGCCTACCACGCCGATGATGGGAAGTGAGTGTGGAGGGGATCGTTCCCGTGGTGGAGTGTTGGGATGATTGCGGGTGTTGGGATGTGAAGGGATTTCATGACGTTAGGAGATGGCGGTGTTGGGATAGCAGGGGGATATTGGGATATTGGGGAGCGTTGGAACCTTGGGGGTGTCAGATACTGGGGGCAGCAGGACTAGGAGGTATTGGGGGGAACTGGGGCCTGTCACGATATTTGGGATCTGCTCCAGGTTTGATGTCCCCCCTTACTGACACCCCCCCATTCTGAACCCCCCCTTTTCGGGGTCCCCCCCGATTTTGGCGTGCCCCAGGCTCTACAGTGGCCGGGCCAAGGGGCGCCAGTTCGGCTCCAAGTGCAGCTCCGGGGACCGCATCGGCTGCGGCGTCGAGAGGGGCTCGTTTGGAGCCCCCCCAGCCCAGGTTTTCTTCACCAAGAACGGCCAGAGGGTGAGGTGATCCCTACCCTGCCCTAGAGCACCCTCCAAACTCACTGGGGCACCCCCAAACCTTGCAGGATCCCCTGAACAGGGATCCTTCTACCTCTCCCCCATCTGTTCTTCACAAAGAACGGACAGAGGATGGGGGAACCCCCAAATCTTCTGAAACCCCAAAGCCTCCAGAGGTGTCCTACGTCCTACTTTGGTGTCTCCCTAAACCCCAGATGGAGGGCCTGGGGGTGCCCTTGTCCCTGAGCCCCCCTGACTCCTTCAATTGCAGGTGGGGGGTCTGGGGGTGCCCCTGTCACCCCCGGGGCTGTTCCCGGCCGTGGGGCTGCACTCGCTGGGTGAGGAGGTCCGGCTGCACCTGCCCCCCCCCGGGCCCCCCGAGGATGAGGGGGGGGCGATGCTGGTGGACAGCCTGGAGGAGGAGTGGGGGCGGCTCCACGACGTGCGGCTCTACGGCTCCGTGAGCACCTGGAAACCCGCGGGGTTTGGGGGCGGAACGGCGGGGTGGAGCCCTCCCGGGACTGGGGATGGCCCAGGGAAGTGGCGAGGGAGCTCAGAATGAGAGTGTGGGGTTGGAGGAGGTTGGACTCCCTCCCAGGCGTGGGAGGTCAGGAATTGAGGTTATGGGGCGAGAAAAATTGGGCTCTGGGAATTTGGGTAAGGGAGATGGGACAAGAGGGGTCCCCGGTCCTATGGAGGGTGAAAATGGGAGATGGGGTAAGGGGGTCCCAGCAGCAACATTGGGAGTCTGGGGGTTCTTGGGTGCCCCTTAAATCCCATGTGCATGCCCCCCCGAGCCCTTATGAATCCCTTCCATAGCCCCTGTGATCCCCCAAATCCCCCTGAGACCCCTGAAACTCTGCCAGGTGCTGTTTTTAGGTGGGGAAGGGGATGAATTTCACGGATCTGGGGCTGGTCCGGGTTGGGGGGTGCCCCCTTTCCCCCCTCTCTGAGCCTGCCCCGTGCTGTCCCAGGTGTTGGAGTATGTGGGGAAGGGGAAGAGCATCGTGGATGTGGGGCTGGCCCAGGCCCGGCGGCCGCTCAGCCCCCGCAGCCACTACTTTGAGCTGGAGATCCTGGACCCGGGTGAGAAGTGCTACATCGCCCTGGGCGTGGCCAGGAAGGTGCGCGGGGGGCTTGGAATTGGGGTACGGGGGGGCTGGGGGCGTGCAGATGCCCAGGGAGCTGGGGGGGGCAGGGGAGTGCTGGGATGTGGGTCAAAAATGGGGTCCCGGGGTTACAAAGGGAGTAAAGGTGGGCTGGAGCCTCCTCCAGGGCTCAGAGCAGCCAAGGAAGGAGGGGAGGGGGGTCAGATTTGAAATATGGGAGGGTTGGACCTCTCCACCGGGCTGGAGCTGGGCTGCAAGTTGTGGGGGGTGTCAAAAAAGGGGGTTCAGGGGGGAAAATTTGGTCTATGAGTTTGAGGGGCTGGGCCCCCCCCCCACATTGCCCACATCTCCCTCCCTCTTCTTGCCCCCCCCTCAGGATTACCCCAAAAATCGTCACCCTGGCTGGAGCAGGGGCTCAGTGGCCTATCATGCAGGTGAGCCCCCAAAAAGTGAGGGGTCCCCAAAATGGGTGGGACCCTCCCCCAAATGCCAGAACCCCCCCAAACACAGGGCCCCAGTAGTGGGACCTCCTCCTATTCTTTCTCCCCCTGAAAACCCCTTTTCCAGTTTTCCTCCCTATTTTGGGTTGCACCCCTATAACGAAGGTCTGGATGAGCTTGGGGGTCCTGCCTAATTTGTGGGGTCCCTCCATCCTCCCTTCTCCCTTTCTCCATCTTTTTCCTCTTCATCCTATTCTTTCCCAACCCAGTTTCCTCCCGTTTTTTGAGGTGCACTCCCGTGTGGAAGTCTGAGGGGTAGTTTCCAGGGAGTCCCTATGGCTTTTCCCTCTCCCTTTTCTACCGTTTTATCTCTTTTCTCCCCCTTTTCCCTTTCGCCCCCTTCACCCTCTTCTTCTTTCCCCCTCTCTCAAGCCTGTTTCTCTCCTTTGTTTGGGATGCACCCCCATGGGAGGGATTCGGGGATCCCTCTGTGCACCCCCGTCCCCAGTTGTCCCCTTCTCCCTTTCCCCCTCCTCTTCTTTCTCCCCGTTTTTTTCGGGTGCACCCCCATGGAGGATATATTGGGGTTTCCCTCACGAACTGGGGGGGTCCCCCTAATTCGGGGTCTCCCCCCAGACGATGGAAAGCTGTTCCATGGCAGTGGGGTCGGGGATCCCTTCGGCCCCCGCTGCTACAAGGGAGACGTGATGGGCTGTGGGATCATGTTCCCTCGGGACTACGGCCGGGACAGCGAAGGTATGGCAGGGCTGGGGACCCCCAAAGCCTGGCTGGGCTCTGGGGGGGATCCCCCACCCTTTTCCCCACCCTTTTCCCCACCCTAGGTGACAGCGATGACGCCTCGGAGCCCCCTGAGGTGAAGGTGCACAACGTGATGTACCTGGAGGAAGAGGAGGAGGAAGAAGAGGAGGAAGAAGAAGAGGATGGGGAGGACATGGAGCAGGAGGGCAGGAAGGTCGTGGTAAGAGTGGGGACACCCGCCAAAAAAAATCTGTGCCCTAAAATACCCCCAACTCCCCCAAAACCTCCTCCTTCACCCCAAAAGTCTCCTTTGTCCATCGTGGGAATCGTTTTAAATCAGTCTGGGGGCTCCAACACCCGGATTTTGGGGTGGTTGGGGGGTGTCCTGCCCCCCTAATATTTTAGGGTGACCCCCCGTTTGTCTGTGATCCTCACACACATTTGTGCCCCACCCCTGCACCCTCCATCACCCCAGAAATCCCCCCTGCAGCCCCCATTGAGTTCAGTTCCCAGTGACTCACCTTGGGGTCACCCCCTTTGCCCCCACTCTTTTGGAGATTGGGGTCTCCCTGCCCTCCCCTCATATTTTGGGGTGACTCTGCTGTGTGTCCCTGAACCCCCTCCATGTGTTACAAACCCCCTCAAAACCTCCACTCAGCCCCAAATCCCCCTACACCCACCTTTTGGCTCATCTTCCTTTGCCTTACTCCCCCCTTTACCCATGTGGGTTTTTTGGAGGGGTGGGGTCTCCCCTGCTCCCCCCAATCTAGGGGTGACCCCCTCGATTTGTGCCCCCCCAGGTGTTCTTCACGCGGAACGGGATGGTCGTGGGGCGCAGGGAGATTGGGGTCCCCCCCGGGGGGCTCTTCCCCACCGTGGGGATGCTCAGCACTGGCGAGAGGGTTAAGGTGGACCTGCACCCCCTGAGTGGATAAAGGGGGGCCCGCGTGGGGCCCCCAAAACCTGAAACCCTCTGGTGCTCCTGGACCCACCCCAGGCCCTCCCAGTGCACTTTAGGGTGTTTCCACAGCAGTGGAGACCCCCCCAAGGTGGTTTTTAGGGTGGGGCCTCTATGCCCCCTCCATAATTTCACTCTTCTGGGGTGGTTCCCCTAATTGAATTCCCCCTCAAAAGTTCCCCACTGTTGCCCCCCTAGATGGTTTTTGGGCTTCTCAGCCATGGCCTCCACCGTGTTTTTGGGGGACCCATTCCTGCCCCATTCCTGTGTTTTTTGGGGACTCAATCCTGCCCCCACCAATCACCCCAGTGACCCCCCCCAGGTGGATTTGGTGGTCTCAGCTCAGCCCTTTCCACAATGGGTGACCCCTGTGCCTCCCCCAGAGCCCCCCAAATCACCCCCTTGACCCTCCCCAGCCCACCCAGCCCCTCCCATTCCACTGACTGCCAGTGCCCCCCAAATCACACCTGTGCCCCCTCTTCTCTTCCAGCACTCCCCATTCTTGGGGGGTTCCAGGGGGCAGAATTAGGGGTTCCTCCCATCATGAATGTAACCAGACCCTTCTAATTCCATGACAGCCCCCAGAGTCCCCAGCTCTGTGCCGGGTCCTGGGCTGGTTTTGGGGTCCCCTTTGACATTTGCACATGGCGGGTGGGGGTCCCCATACCCTCCCCCCCGCAAATAAACCCATTTCTTACACCAAAATAAATGTGGATTTATTTGGGTTCCTCCAGGAACCCCCAAATTGCAGGGGGCTGTCCCTATGCCCCTTTTTTCCTACCAGCCTCTCCTTCTTCACTTGAGGGGTAGTTGGGGGGGGTGTAGAAGTTTTGGGGGGCCTTCAAGGGTGGGGAATATTTGGAGGGGTCTGGGGGGGTCTCAGGGGGAGTTTGGGGGTCCCCAGTGGGGCTTTGGTGATGAAGATGGTGGGAAGGGCGATTATGGGGGTCCCCTTGTGCTCCCTCGAATCGGGGGTGTCTGGGAGGGTTTGGGGGTGTTGAGGACCTTGGTGATGAAGGTGATTATGGTGGGGGGGTTGGTTGTGTGTGTCCCCTTGTCCCCCCTTTGGCACGGGAGACCCCCGCACGGTTTGGGCGTCCCCAGATGGTTTTGGAGGTGCCAGGGGGTTCTGAGGGTCCCTCAGTGTCGTGTCCCCAGCAAGACCTTGGTGAAGAGTGGGGAGAGTCCCACTGGATTTTGAGGGTGCCCCTGAGCCCCCTCTGCTTCAGGGAGCTTTGGGGGTCCCCAGGCGGTTTTTGGGGTGCTGGGGGGTCCCCGCTGTCTCTCAGTGCCTCGTCCCCAGCAGGACTTTGGTGACGAAGGTGACGATGGCCCCTGCCGGCTGCTCGGGGTCCAGCTCCGCGAACACATGGCACATGTTGCCCCCTCCCGGGGCCCCCGCCTGCTTCGCCACGAACCCGAAAATCCTGGGGCGGGGCCAGAGTCAGATCTGTGCCCCCCCTCCTGTCTGGGGGTCCCGCTCTGGGGGTCTCCCCATTACCTGGCCGTGGTCCCATCGGGGTTCGCCCACCTGGGGGGGGGTTAGAGGGGTTGGGAGGTGTGGGAGGGTTTGGGAGGTTGGGGGTAGGTTGGGGGTCCCCCCCGTGCCTCCCCTGTGCCCCCCTGACCTGCGCTCCTGCGGGTCGGTGCCGCAGTGGGTGACGCTGCTCACGGGGTAGTGCCGGCGGAAAAAGAGTCTGGGGGCACACGGGGGGCAGGGTGGGCGGGTGCCGAGGGGTTGGGGGGAGGTCGGGGTTGTTTTTGGGGGGCGTTGGGGTTTGGGGGAGCAGCGGTTTGGAGGATGAGGGGTTTAGTAGGATTGGTGGCTCAGGACGGGGGTTTTGGGGTGTTTGAGGTGGCGGTTTTTGGGGGGTTGGGAGATTTGGGGAGGTCGGTGGTTTTGGGGGTTCAGTAGTTTTGGGGGGTCAGTGTCCGAGGGGATCTCAGTTTGAAGGGGTCTGGGTGGGGGGGTTGGGTGGTTTGGGGCGGGTGGGGGGTTAGAGGGGTCAGGGTTTGGGGGGGTTTGGGGGTCCCTCACTTGCGCTGCCGGTCCGTCAGGGTGATCCCCTGCACTGACACCTTGAAGTGCACGGGGCTGGGGGGGGGCCCGGCGGACCCCCCCGCACTCGGGGCCCCCTCCAGGAGGGACCCCACGGCCTTGGCCACGGCCTGGGGCCCGGTCAGCGCCTCGGTCCCCACCGAGCCCAGGAACAGCACCGAGCAGGCTGGGGAGCAACGGGGGGAGCTGCTTAAACCGGGACCAGCCTCCCAAAACCGGGAGCCATGTCCCCAAAACGGGGCCCAACCTCCCCAAAACCGGGAGCAGCAACCCCAAAACTGGGACCAACCCCCCCAAAACCGGGAGCAGCAACCCCAAAACTGGGACCAACACCCCCAAAACTGGGACCAACCCCCCCAAAACTGGGACCAACCCCAAAACTGGGACCAACCCCCCCAAAACCGGGAGCAGCAACCCCAAAACTGGGACCAACCCCCCCAAAACCAGGATCTGCCCCCTCAATCCTCCCAGTCCCGATGCCAACGCTGCATAGTGACCCAATTCCAGTGCCTGCACCGCCCCAGTAACCCTCCCATCCCAGTGCCCCCCACCCCAGTATCCTCAGCACCCCCCCAGTGCCCCGGGTGTGCCCAGCCCCACCTGCCCCCTGCCTCAGGAGGGCTCCGGCCGTGCTGACATTGGGGGGTCCTGGGGGGTCCGGGGGCTCCTCCTGCAGCTCTGGGGAGGAAGGCACAAGCTGGGGGGCAGCCGAGCACCCCCCCAGGAACTGTCCTGGCAGGGGAAATCGAAGGGCTGGGAGAGTTTAGAGGGACTCTGGGGGGATTTGGGGGGCTGGAAGAGTCCCTGGGCGATCCCATCAGCTTTTTTGGGGGGTTCCCGCTGTTTGGGAGTGTCCCCATAATTTTGTGGGTTCCTACGGTTTTGGGGGTTCCTGTAGTTTTGGGGGAGGACCCGCGATTTTGTGGTGTCCCAGCTGATGTTCAGGGGAGTCCACATGGAGGTTTTGGGGTGTCCCCGTGGTTTTTGAGATGTTCCCTTGTGGATTTTGGGGGTTTCCCTGGGGAGTTTTAGGGGGTTGGGAGCTTTTGGAGAGTTGCCAGGGGGTTTTGGGGTGACTTCGTGGGATTTTTAGGGTGTCCCATGGTTTTGGGTTTCTCCCGGGGGGTTTTGGTGTGTCCCAGGAAGGGGTTGGGGTGGGGTACCCGCAGTTTGAGGGGGGGGTCCCTGTGGGGGTTTTGGGGTGTCATGCGGGAGTTGTGAGGTATCCCCAGGGTTTTTGGGTGTCCCTGCAGTTTTTGGGGTGCCCACCTGCGTGGGGGATGCGGAGGGTGCACGGCAGTGAGATCGGGGTGATGGAATGCTGCAGCACCAGCGCTGGGAGGCTCCCTGGGGAGAAGAGGAGTCAGGGCACCCCAAAACCTCCCACTAACTGCCCAAATCCCCCACAGATTCCCTCGGACCCCAACTCCACCCCGAGCCCCCTGAGCCCCCCCGAGTTCCCCTTGAGACCCCACTGACCCCCACAGCCCCTCCCCATCCCCCAGACCCCCCCCCGCCCCTCTAACCAAAGTAAGGCTCCTCGGGGCACCCCCGAATTTTGACGCCCCGCGGGCCCGTCTCGATCAGGAAGTGCCGGACCAGCTGCTCCTGGGGGTCCCCTGGGGGGATCGGACACAGTCAGACCCCCGAGAGCCCCCCACAGCACCCCCCGACGCCCCAGTGTTTTCTCTGGGGCATTTGGGGGTGCCCACGGGGGGATCTGGGAGGGTTCAGGGGGCGTTGGGGGTGTCCCACCTCCCGTGGCAGCCCCCCACCATGGACAGCCCCCCACCATGGACAGCCCCCCAGGTACTGCGGGACGGGGGCGGGGGTCTCTGGGTGGCTTTGGGGGCTGCTGGTGGGGAATTTGGGGTAATTTTCAGGGGGTGTTGGGGGCGTCAGAGCTCTGAGAGATGCCCAAGACCCCCCCCCCCCCGGCTCCCAAATATTCCCTAGAGGGGAGATGGATTGGGGGCGTGCCGGGTCTGTGGGGTTCGGGGGGCTCGGGGGAGTCCATACCCACTCTGGGGGTGGCGCGGGGGGGCGGGACCCCCACCCTGAGCGCCAGCCCGAACGCCCCCGGGAAGCTGCTGCTGCGGCGGACGAGGAAGGAGCCGGGAGGGGCCGCCTTGAGCAGCGCCACGGCTGGGGAGACACGCGGGGGTCGCACGGGGGGGACCCCACTGACCCCCCCCCCATTCAACCCTCCAAGCTACCCACAGACCTCACCCATGACACCCCCCATAGATCCCCCCCCCACATCCCAGAACTGAAATCCCCACCCCCCGTAACACCCACCACTGACCCCCCAGCACCCCCCAATAACCCACGAGGCTCCCCAAACCCTCCCCTCCAACCCCCCGCGAGTTCCCGGCCCCTCGGGGGTCCCCAGCGCCGACCCCCCGTACCTTCCTCCCGGGACAGCCCCGGTTTGTACCAGAACTTGGTGGTGTCCTGCGCGAAGGTGCCCCCGGGGGGGGTCTGTCCCCGGGGCCCCTCCGGGCTGCGCTGGGGTGAGGAGGGGTCCCGGGGTCCCCCCGGGGCCGGGGGGTGCCGCTTCTCGGGCAGGGGCGGCTGCGGGGGCGGGGGGCAGCCGGGGGTGCCGCTGTCTGGGGAGGGGGCGCGGGGGGGGCCCGGCCAGGGCGTCCCCTCGATGGGGCTGCGCCGCCCTGGGGGGCACAGAGAGAGGGGAGACCCCCCAAAAACTCTCTGGGAGGGCCTCCAAAGACCTGTCCCCAGTGGGTCCTTTGCCCCAACAGTCCCGGACCCCCCAGGTACCCCTTTAAGGCCCCAAATCCCCCCAACCCCCCTCAGTTTATGCCTCAGCTCCCCCAAGCGCCCCCTCCCCAGCCCCTCTGTGGCCACGAACCTTCCCCAGAAGCCCCCCCAGCCCCTTCAGGCCCCTCCAGACCCCCTCCATGGACCCTTTTACCTCCATGGATCCGCCCCAGGACCCCCCGTACCCCCTTTAATGCCCCTTTTAATAATGCCCTCTTTTAAACCCCCCCAAACCCCTCCCAGCGCCCCCATTAACCCCTTCGCGCCCCCATCTTTACCTGTCGGCTCCTGGGGCTCCCCCATAGCGGGGGGCTCGTAGCCCCCCTTTCCGGGAGGGGGGTCTCTCTCCAGTCCCAGCCCGGGGTGGCCGCAATGGGGACAATTTGGGGGCTCCAGAGGCGGCGCCGGGGGGCCTCCCCAGCCATGCCCGCCATAAATGGGGCGGGTGGGGAGCGGGGAGATGCCCCCCCAGCCTTGGCAGTCCTGGCACGGGCAGAGGGGCGGGAGCCCCCCCAAAAGCAGGTACCCCCCCGCCACTGGGCGCCCGTAGCCTCCCCACGGAGGGAACCCCTCGGACAGCGAGCGCTGCACCCCCCGTTTTGGGGTGTCGCGGGGGGAGGCCAGGCTGGCTCGGCGGCACAGGGGGGGGCACGGGGGGGCCCAGGGGCTCGGGGGGGCCCAAGGGCCCGGGGGGCTGGGGGATACCGGGAGGCTGTGAGCTGCGGGGGGGCTGGGGGATATTGGTATCCCATGGGATGCTGGGGGGCTGTGGAGTGAGGGGGTCCCATGGGCTCCCGGGGGGCTCTGGGCTGCAGGGGGGCCGTGGGACATCGGAGTCCCGTGGGGGGCTGGGAGTCCCTCGGATATTGGGGTGATGTGGGAGATCGGGACCCCAGGGGATGCCGGGGTGCCGTGGGGTTTTGGGGGCCTGTAGGAGGCTGGGGGGCTGTGGGGGTCTGGGGTCTCCTGGGATGTGGGAGTCCCGTAGGGTGTCAGGGTCTCATGGATGATTGGGGTCCTGTGGGACATGGGGGGGCTGTAGGACATTAGGGACTTCTGGGCTGGAGGGGGGCTCTGGGGAGTGTGGGAGCCTTGGGGTGTTGGGGATCCATGAGATGGTGGGGTCCCATAGGATTTTGGGGTCCCATAGGGTGATGAGGACCCCTGGGATGTTGGGGTGCCATACGGAGTCAGGGTCTCCAGGGATGCTGGGGTCCCATGGGATGCTGGGGGGCTGTAGGGCACCGGTGACCCCTGGAATGTTAAGGTCCCCTGGGATATTGGGGTGCTATTGGGCACCAGGGTGTCCTGGGATATCGAGGTCCCGTGGAATGTCGGGGACCCCTGGGATATTGGGGTCCTGTGGGATATCGGGGTCCCATAGGGCACTGTGAGCCCGTGGGATATTGGGGTCCCGGGGGATACCGAGAGGCCATGGGGTGCCAGGGTCCCGTAGGAAGTTGGGGAGCCCTGTGATGCTGGGGGGCCATGCGGTGTCAGGGTCTCGTGGGGCACCAGGGTCCTGTAGGGTTTTGAGGTGTCATAGGGTGTGGGGGACCCCTGGGATTTGGGGACTGCACAGGATGTGGGGAAGCTGTGGGGTGTTAGGGTCCCACAGGATGTCGGGGGGCTATGGGGAGCAGGGGTCCCATGGAATTGGGGGGTCCCGTGGGATAGGGGAGTCTTATGGGATATTGGGGTCCCATAGGACATCGGCATCCCATGGGATGGGGGGATCTCGTGGGATCCGGGGGTCTCATGGAATATGGGGGTGCTGTAGGATGGTGGATTCCCGTAGGGTGCCGCGGTCCCCAGTGGTTCGGGGGTCCCATAGGCCGTGGCTGTCCCAGGCGGTTCGGGGGTGTCGCAGGGCTCCTCCCCCGGCCCGGGGGTCTCGCGGCCCCCCCGCACCCCGAACCCCCCCAGCAGCTGCTCCAGCTCCCGGCGCTCAGCAGCCGTGGGGGGCGGGGGGCGTCCGTGGGGGGCTCCGGGTGGGGGTGGGGAGTCAGGGTCCCCTGCAGGGGGGGAGGGACCCCCCTTCTTCTGCACGCGGGCGTAGGGGCTGCCATCCAGGGGACCCCAGGTGTGGGAGGGCTCTGGGCAGGAAAAGGACGGTCAACCCCCCCTCCCCGCACCCCCAAAACCCCACGGGACCCCCGGAACACCCTGGGACCCCTTGTGTCCTCCCCCACCCTTTCAGACTGTGGGGACCCCTCCCATATGCCCATATTGCCCCCCAAAGCCTCCTGTGCACCCCCAGTTCCCTGCATTTTCTCCAGGCCTTCAGCTCCCCTTTGAAGGGGGGACCTTCAACCCCTTGGCAGGCGGGAACCCCCCCGGCCTCCCCCAAAGCCCCAAACACCCCCAGTCCCCTCGGCCCCTCAAACTCCCCCAGCCACCCACCCCTGACACTCCAGGGCACCCCAACACCCTCCAGCACCCCCAGACCCCCTGCACCCCCCAGACCCCTGGCCTCGGTGTCACTCTTTCCCCCCCATGCCCCACGGACCCCCCGTACCCCAATTTCTCCCCGACCCCCACTTACCCTCGGGGCTGTCCCAGTGCCCCTCGTAGGAGTCGCGCCGCACTGCGGGGTCCTGCACCCCGTAATCGATGGGGGTGGCGGGGGGGCTGCGTGGGGGGAGCCAGCCTGGGGGAGCAGGGCAGGAGGGGTGGGCGGTGAGAGGGGCCCGCTGGGGTGTCCCCGCTGCTCTCTGCCCCCCAAAACCCACCTTCAACCCTCTCGGGGCCTGAGGAGAAGATGAACTCCACGGCGGCGTCGCGGGGGAAGCGCTGGTCTGGGGTCAGCCCGGGTGGTTTGGTGGGTGTGGGGTGTCCCCACAATCCGCATCCCACATCGCCCCGTACCCCTCGATCGCCCCACTCCCAGCCCTCATCCCCCCTGAGCACCCCCAAACCCTCCCTGTCCCCCCGTGCCCCCCAAACCCGGCAGTCCCGCATCTCCCCCGCACCTCCCCGCCCTTGGCACCCCCACCTTGCCAGGCCAGGTCCAGCTCGTCCCGCCGCAGCCTCAGGCGGGGCCCGCGCAGGGTCCCCGTGTGGAACTGAACCCCAAAAACCGCCTCGCGCCCCTCCCGCCGCCGGTGGTAGCAGCGCACCTGGGGGGCACAGGTGAGCGAGGGGCTCGCACAGGTGACTCGGGGGTCACGCACAAAGGTCGGGGGGTCCCCCCTCCCCGCGTCCCCCCCTCACCATGACGTCCCCCTTGAGCAGCAGCGCCGGTTCCAGGGTGACGCAGAGCGACTGGGAGGCAGGGGGGCTGCTGGGGGAGAACGGGGGGCATTTCGGGGGGTTAGGCCTTGGGGGGGTTGGTTTGGGGGGTGTCAAGATTAGGGGCAGCCTCTGAAACCTCAGCACCCATAGAGCACTGGGGGAAACTGGGGGGAGCACCTGAATCCCCCAAAGGGGGGTCGGGGTGTGAGCTCTGGGGGTGCCCTCAATGGGCACAGTGGGGGATGTGAGGTTTGGGGGGCTCCCCCCGAGGTGCAGGGGAGGTCAGATTTGGGGGGGGGGTCACTCACTAGACCCCCGAGGTGTAGACAAGCTGCAGCGATTGGTAGATCTTGAGGAAGGGGCGGCATCCTAGGGGGAGACACGGGGGTATTAATGGGGGGTCCTGGGGGCTGCCGGGGTCCCTCCCCCACCCCAAACTGACCGTCGGGGGGCTCGTAGGCGGGCAAAGGGGGCAGCAGGACGTGGTGCAGAAACTGGGGGGAGCTGTTCAGGCGAAGCCGCCCCGAGAGCAGCTCCCCGAAATCCTCCGTGTACCTGGAGGGGGCAAGGCTGTAACCCCAAAACCGCCCCAAAACTATGCCAAAAATCCCCTCAAAACGACCCCAAACACCAACTGAAACCGCACCAAAAATCACCTCAAAACCACCCCAAAAGCACCCCTAAGAATCACCCCAAAATCATCCCAAAAATCACTCTAAACCACACCAGAAGTTACCCCTAGAACACTAAAACCCATCCCAAAAGCGCCCAAAAATCACCTGAAGAAACACCCGAAAAATCACCCCAAGCCACCCCCCCAATACCCCTCAAAACCACCCCAAAAACCATTTCCCCAAAACACCCCAAATCCTGCCATGACCCCCCCGACCCCATAACCTCCCCCACCCCCCCGGACCCCACCTGCGCTGGGAGGGCTGCAGGACCCCCCCCAGTTTCTCCTCGCAGAACCTCCTCATGCTCAGCGCGTTCAGCGCCTGCTCGGGGCTGGGGGGGCAAAAGGAGAGTGAGGTGCCCCCAAAGCCCCCGGGACCCCCAGGGACCACAAAGACTCCCCCAAACCCCACACGATAGCCCCAATCCTCCCCATGGCCCCTTTAACCCTCCCAGGACACCCCTCACCCCCCATCTCCCTGCACCTGAGAACCCTCCTTTTGACCCCCACTCTGCCCCCCAACCCTCCATGACCTCCTACAAACCCCCACCAGCCCCCCTAATTATCCCCATAAACCCTCTAAGCCCCTCCTTACCCCCCCACCCCACCCCCAAAGCCCCCCGGCCCTCCTCACCTGCCCCAAACGTCACTGTAGTGCAGAAACGCTCCCACGACCACCCCGACCGGGGCCTTGCTGCCCTGGGTGGCGGGAGGGGGGGGCGTGGGTCAGGACTCTCAGAACTCCCCAGTACCCCCCAGTACCCCCCATAATCCCAGTGCTCCCCAGTAACCCCCAGTGCCCTCCCCAGTATCCCCAACGCCTCCCAGTACCTCCCAGTACCACCCAATTGCCTCCTAGCCCCCTCCCCATTGTCCCCAGTCCCCCAGCCCGACGAGAAGCCCCCTCAGAGCTCCCCACCTTGCAGAGCAGCACGGCCACGTTGCGGGGGTGCCCCCCCAGACACCCCTCGAGCGCTTTGCAGATGGAGCAGAGCAGCTCCAGCGGTGGGGCGAGCAGCTCCGGCCACCCGAAATCCAGCACCTGGGGGGGACCCTCAGAACCGGCACCCCAAACCCACCGGGACACCCCCAAAGCTCCCGGCATGCCTCCGAGACCCCCAACTCCCCACCCCCCCGGACATTCCCGGCACCCCTCAGGGACCCCCCAGCAGCCTCCGAACCCCCCCAAGGCTCCTGCGACCCCCAGGACCCCCCCACCCATCCCCCACGCCCTCCCAACCCCGCGGGACGTGCTCCGGGACCCCCCGGGAACCCCAAATCCCCTGGGGGGACCTCCCGGACCCCCCCTCACTTTGGGGTTCAGGCGTGTGAGGTCCCGGCGCTTCTCGGAGAGGTTGAAGATCTGCGGAGGCACGGGGGGGTCAGGGGGAGCCCGGACCCACCAGGACCACCCCAGAACCCCCCAGCACAGCCCCGGAACCCCCAAATTCCCTCTGCCACCCCCAGATCCCTCATGTCTTGTCCCCCCTCCTCAGGGCTCCCAGTTCACCCCACACCCCCCCTCGGCCCCCCATTGCTCCCAGCAGCTCCCCCAGTGCCCCCCAGACCCTCTCCAGTTGCCCCACTCGCTGTCCCAGTTGCCCCACTCGCTGCCCCAGTTGTCTGGTCGCTGTCCCAGTTGCCCCAGTTGCCCGCTCGCTGCCCCGTGGCCCCAGTTTCCCCAGTTGCCCCAGTTTCCCCAGTTTCCCCAGCTGCCCCAGTTGCCCCAGCTGCCCCAGTTTCCCCAGTTGCCCCAGCTGCCCCAGTTGCCCCAGCTGCCCCAGTTTCCCCAGTTGCCCCAGCTGCCCCATGGCCCCAGTTTCCCCAGTTTCGCCAGTTGCCCCAGTTGCCCCAGTTGCCCCAGTTTCCCCAGTTTCCCCAGCTGCCCCAGTTGCCCCACTCGCTGCCCCAGTTTCCCCAGTTGCCCCAGTTTCCCCAGTTTCCCCAGCTGCCCCAGCTGCCCCAGCTGCCCCAGTTGCCCCACTCGCTGCCCAGTTTCCCCAGTTGCCCCAGTTGCCCCACTCGCTGCCCCAGTTGCCCCAGTTTCCCCAGTTGTCCCAGTTGTCCCAATTGCCCCAGCTACCCCACTCGCTGCCCAGTTGCCCCAGCTGCCCCACTCGCTGCCCAGTTGCCCCAGTTTCCCCAGTTGCCCCAGTTGCCCCACTCGCTGTCCCAGCTGCCCCAGTTGCCCCAATTGCCCCACTCGCTGTCCCAGTTGCCCCAGTTGCCCCAGTTGCCCCACTCGCTGTCCCAGCTGCCCCAGTTGCCCCAATTGCCCCACTCGCTGTCCCAGTTGCCCCAGTTGCCCCAGTTGCCCCACTCGCTGTCCCAGTTGCCCCAGTTGCCCCAGTTGCCCCAGCTGCCCCACATTCTGCCCCACCGTGTAGTTGGGGCCGTGCCGTGCCCCCAGCAGCCCGGCCAGGTGCCGCAGGTGCCGCAGGTGTCCCTCTCCGCCGCCGCCCGGGAGCGCCACGCTCAGGATCCGCTCGGTGACAAACGCCAGGTCCAGCTGGGGGGGGGGCGCGGCCTCGGGGCTGGGGGCGCGGGGGGTCCTGGGGGGGCGCAGCGGCTCAGAACTGGGAGGCGGCACCCCCAGAACCCCCGGACGGAATTTCACCCTCAGCCCCCTAAACCCCCCCTCAACACCCCAACTCTTCCCGGGCTCCCCCAGCACCCCAAAACCTTTTGGGGTCTCCCCCAAATCCCCCCTCAGCACCCCCAAACTGCCGTACCTGGGCAGGGTGCTTCGCTGCGGGGCGCTGTCGAGCGAGGAGCCCTGGAGGGTCCCGGAGGAGCCCCAAAAACGAGGGGGGGGGGGCAAAAGGGCGTCGTGGGGCACCCAAAACATGGGGGGAGTTAAAGGCTGTCCCCGGACACGGGGGTGGGGAAGGGGCCAAGGCAGGCGGGGGGGTCCCCAAAACAGGGAGCGGTCGAGGGAGTCAAGGGAGGGTCGGGGGGAGTTGGGGGGTCCGCGGAACACCCGTGGGGGGTCAAGGGGAGGGGCAGGGAGGTGCCCAAAACAGGAGGGGAGTCGGGGGGGTTCATAAGGGGTCAGGGACGGGTGGGGGGGGGCCAAGGGGGGGGTGTCAGAGGGGTCCCCAAAACACCGCAGAGTCATGGGGATGTCGGGAGGGGTCTCCAACTCCTGGGGAGGATCAGCGGGGTTTGGGGAGTCCCGGGGGGGAGGTTTAAGGGGCTCCTGGGAGGGGGGTTGGGGATACCCGGGGGAGGTTAGGGGTCACGGGGGGGTGGTTAGTGAGTCGAGGGGGTTTTGGGGGTTTCGGGGGTCTCACCACTCGCTCGCTGCGCCGCATCGGGGCCGTGTTCCGCCTCTGGAGGGGCACAGCGGGGTCTGAGGGGGGCCCGACCACCGGGGAGGGGGGGGCCTGTCCGGGGGGTTTGGAGTCCCGAGGGGGATTTGGGGGGTTCAGGGTCCAGGGAGAATATCGGGGGTGCCGGATCCTGACATGGGTGTTTAGGGGTCCCGAGGGGGGGGGGGGGCCCGTCTCCTGCTCGGGGGGGCTTGGGATGGTTTCAGCCCTTCCGTGGGGTCCCTGATCCTGCCCGGGGAGTTTGGGGGTCCCGAGGGGAGCTCGGAGGGTCCTGCCCGGGGGTGCTTCGGGAGTTCGGGTCGTGCCCGGGGGGTTTGGGGGTCTCGAAGGGGATTTGAGGGGTCTCGGGTCCTGCCCGGCGGCTTTGGGGAGGTCGCGGTCCCCCCACACTCACCAGCTCCGGCGGGGGCAGAGGTTGGCACGGAGACGTCACCTGGAGGAGGACACGGGGATCATCCCAAATGGGACCCCAGCCCCAAATGGGCCCCCCCGCCCTTGGGTGACGCCCCCGCCCCACGTCGTACCTTGCTCTCACATCTCTTGTGGGCGGCGACTTTGCAAACTGGGAGGGACAACGGCGACATCAGGAACCCCCAGGGTCCCCTCAGGGTTTCCCCAGGGTCCCCCCAGGGCCCCAAGTACACCCCCATACCCTCCCGCTGCCCCCAACAACCTCCCAGTGTTCCCAGTAACCGCTCACTGCCCCCAGTGACCAATTCAGTGACCCCGGTAACCGGCCCAGTAACACCCCAGTGCTCCCAGTGACTTCCCAGTGCCCTCCCAGTGCCCCCAGTAACCTCCCACTCCCAACCCCACTGTCCCCAGTAACCCCCCCCCCCCCCCCCCACCCAGCCCCTCCCTGTGTCCCGGGGCTGTCCCGGGGCTGTCCCGGGGGTGTCACCTCTGCACACGAGCCCGTGGGGTCCCAGGGGGGTCCCGCAGCCCCCACAGGGCGCCCCCCGGCGCAGGCTCCGCTCGCGGAACGCGTGGGGCGCGGCTGGGGACGGCCTCGGCTGGGGAGACACGGGTGGGGTCACCGCCTGTCCTCCCGTGTCCTCCCCGCGCCACTGCCAGGACCTCTCGTGCCACTTCTCCCATTGTGTCCCCTCCATGTCCTCCCCATGTCACTTCTCGTGTCACCCTCTGTGTTTCCTTTGTGAACCCCCCGTGGCCTCCCCGGGTCCCCTCGGTGACCCCCCTGTGTACCAGCCCCCGTCCCACCCAGTTCTCACCGTGTCACCTCCGTGTCCCCTCGTGTCACCCCCCCGTATACAGCCCGTCCTCCTCTGGTCCCCTCATGCGTCCCCAGGTGTCAGTCGGTGTCCCCCGTGTCCCTCCTTGTGTCCCCCCATGTTCCCTCCATGACTTCTCACTGACCGCTCCGCGTCTCCTCCATGACGCCACGCGTGTCCCCGCATGTGTCCCTATCATGTCCCCCTCTTGTCACCCGCAGTATTCCCCCGCGTCCCCCTCCCCTGTGTCCCCTGTGTCCCCTGTATCCCCTCTAGGATCCCACTCCTGCCCCCCATGTCACCTCCGTGCCCCCCCATGGCACCGCCGTGTCCCACATGTCACTCCCCGTGCCACCCCCGTGTCCCCTCGTCTCTCGCTGCTTGTCCCTCCCGTGTCAGCCCCACTCCCTCTCGTGCCTCCCCGTGTCCCCCACCTCGTGTCGTCCCGCGTGTCCCCCCCGTGTCCCCCCCGGCCCCTCTGGCCTCCGGCCACGGACACCGAGTCCCGCAGGAAGCGCGCAGGGACCAGCCCGGGAAGCGGCGACCCCTGGGACGACCCCGCCGTTCCCACGGAGGGGGAGGGGCGTGGGAGTCTGTGCGTGGGGAGGGGGCACGGGGGAGGGGCGTGGGAAAAACGGGGAAAAGCGGGAAAATGGGGGAAAAGGGGAAAGTGGAGGCGAGGGGTGAGCATGGAAAACATGGGGAGGGGCGGCGAGGGGGCGGGAGGAGGGTCAGACTCGACTTTCCCCCCCCCCTCCCACGGTCACCCAGCGTCACGCGTGGGGAGGGGGCGGCTGGAGCGGACAGCGGGGGAGCCCCACGGGGGGGTTCCCCCGCTTTTGCCATCGCTTCCCCACGGGGGGTCCCCAACCTACGCGGGACCCCCATGAAGTGTACGCGGAATAAACAGACTCCCCCAAAACCTCCGTTTCACCCCCCCACGCCGGGACCTTCCCCCGGTCCTACCGTGTCGGGGCCATCGCGGCGGCCAAGCGCCCGCAGCAGCGTCCCCACGGCCCCGGGGGGCTTCATGGGGGGCTCCGCGGGGACCTCAGGGGTCCCAGGCGCTCCCGGGGGGCGTCTCGGGGCTCCCCGTGGGTGCCGCTCGCGGCTCCGTGGCCGAAGGCGCCGGGGAGGGGCCGTTTCCGCGAGTCCGGAGCCGCTTCCCGTGCCGGGGGGGGACACGGACACGGGGGGGACACGGGGGGGACGACACGGGAACGACACGTCTGGCCACGGGAAGGGGACACCGGGAGGACACAGGGGAGGCAAGGAGGAGACACGGGGGACGCGGAGAAGACACGCGGGGGGGACACGGGGCACCGGGAGGATCACAGGGGGGACAAGGAGAGGGACACACGGGGGACACGCGGAGTGACACCGCCCCCTGCCGCCCGTGCCTCAGTTTCCCCCTTTCTCACTTCCAGGATCCCCCAAAATTCCTCCCGAGCCCCCCGGCGCTTTCCTGGCGCTGCTCCCGCCCCTCTTCATCCTCCTCCTCCCACCGCCCCATCGCTAACCCGCCCCGCGGCCCCCCGGGACCCCCAAACTCGGGGAAAAAGGGGGTTTGGACCCACCCCATGGGGTCCCCCAAAATCAAGAAGGGGGAGGCTGAGACCCCCCCACGAGACCTCAAGATTCATTGGGAAAGGGGATCCTCAGCCCATGCCACCTCCAAACTCGGGGCGGGGGATGTGGGTTCGGAGGGGCTCGAGGGACCCCACACAATCCCGGGATGGGGTCCCCAGGGAGTGCAGGGACCCCAAACCCCTCCCCTGCGAGACTCCCGGGGGGAAGCTTGTTCCAAGGGGAGGAATTGGGGTAGAGGGGGTTTTGGGGGGCGTTGGGGTGGGGGTTATTGAGGTTTTGGGCTGCAGGGGAGGAATCAGGGTGCAAGGAGGGTTTTGGGGAGCAGGGCTGGTTTGGGGTGTGGGTTATTGTGCAGGGGGGGTAGGGGCGCAGGGAGAGAATTTGGGTTCGGGAGGGGAATTGGGGATGAGGTTTTTGGGGTGCAGGGAGAGGATTTGGGTTCAGGAGGGGAATTGGGGAAGAGGTTTTTGGGGTGCGGGGAGAGGATTTGGGTTTGAGGGACTTGAGGGGCGTAGAGGGGATTGAGGGGCCTGATCAGGTCCCCTCTCGGTTGGGGTTGTCGGGGTCCCCTTCTCCCGGCCCTTGGGGTCCTCCCCCCTCACCCGGCCAGGACAGACCCCCCCTTTGTGGGGCCGGAGCCGCCGCGGGGGGGGGGCGCATTCCAGCGGTGGGGGAGGCGCGTTCCAGCATTCCAGCGGTTGGGAAGAGCCGGGAAAGAGGAAGGGCGGGGGGCAGGGGCGGGATCCCGGGGCTCGGTGCTGTGCCCACACCCCCAATTAATTACCCCCAATTAATTACCGCTAACCAGCGGAGGGTGGAGGAAGAGGAAGAATGGAAGGATGCAGAGATCAGGATGAAGGTGAAGGAAAAATCAAAAAGGAGGAGGAAGAGGATGAAGAAATAGGGATGAGGAGGAAGGAGAAGGAATGAGGAAGGAGAGGGAAGAAGGAGAAGGAAAAAGAAGGAGAGGAAGAAAATGAGGTGGAAAGAGGAAGGAGAAGGGGAAGCAGGAGATGCAGTGATAGAGGAGGAGGAAGTGAAGAAGTGGAAGAGGAAGGGGGGAAGAGCAAGAGGATGGAAGGAAGGAGGAAGATGAAGGAGGAGGAAAGGCAGTAAGAAAGAAGGAATGAAGGATGAGGAAGGAGAAAAGATGGAATGAAGAAAGGGGATGCAAGAAGGAAAAAGGAAGCCCAGAGAGAGGAAGGCCAATGTCCGGACAGGAAATTCCCCCTGGAGGGCTTTGGGAACTGCCCTGTTCCCCTTCCAGGTGCGGAGGAGAAGGGCAGAAGTATTTGGGGCCTTTCTGGATCTTTTTCAGCTCATTTTATTGGAGAAAACAAAACAGCCCCCAACCTGGGGGAGAACCCCAAAACACCCCCCTGGGGACCCCAAAACTCCCCCAGGACCTCCCAAAACCTCTGGGAAGGTTCTTTTTACACATTTTTACAGCCCACCCCAAATCCCAAAATCTCGGACTATCTTGAGGTTCTGGGGTGGAAATTCAGGTTTTCCTGTGTAAAGGGTGGGATTTGCATCCCAAAAATTCGGTGGGGGAATTGGAGAGGCACCTGTGAGCCAGGGGGATGATGAAGGTGCCCAGGGGGAAATCAACATTCCAGAGGTGAGGAAAACGGGGGGCAGAGGGGGATCCCAAACCCCGGAGGATTTGGGGGGGGTTGGATGCCTCCCTATCCCTGTTTTGGAGGGGCTCCAGTGAGGATGAAGGCCAGCTCTTCCTCACCCCTTATTCCATGGAAAACAAGGAGGGAGGAGCTGCTTTTCTTTCAAGAAAACTCTTGGAATTACCCCTCCGGCCCCCCATGCTGATTTTGGGGTGATTCCCGTGCGTTCCGTGTGGGGTTGTTTTCGGGATTTAAGAAGCTGTAGCTGAGGGAATTGATGAGTTTTAGGCTTTATTTCTGTCTCGCCTGGATCAAGGTTGGGATTTTTGGGAATCTCCAGAGGTTCCTGCAGCAGCTGAGGAGGAGGAGGAGGGGGAGGAAGCTTCTACTCAGCTCCTTCTTCATCATCACCTTCATCCTCCCCATCCATAGAGAGCGCGGCGTATTTGCTGGCATGGCTGAACTGCAGGGAAAACCAGGAAAAATTCCCAAAAATGGGAATTGAGGGGGATAAATATCCTCAGGGGCTCACACATCCCAAAACCAGGGGGTCACAGCCCCCCAGAAAGGGTCAGAGAAATCCAAAATTGCTGGGGTGGTTGAGCTGGGAGGGCCAGGGGGGTGTCACTTTTGAAAAAAAAAAAAAAATTCCCAAAGCTCCCAAAAAAACATGATTTGAAGGGGATGAAGACCCCCAGGGGGTCATGCACCCCAAAAAGAGTGGTTAACAGCCCTCCCCCAGGGAGTTTCAGACTGCTCAAGGCTGAACTGTGAAGGTGGGCAGAGGGAGAGGGGCAGTGAAGCAGAAAATTCCCAAAATACCCCAAAAAATGAGATTTGAGGGGTTGAAGTCCCCTGGGGGCTGTTAGCTGGAGGCACAGGGCATCAGTTATGGTGAAAATTCCCCAAAACCCCCCAAACCCGGGATTTGAGGGGGGTCCCTCCCCTCTTCTGGGTGCCCCAGGATCCTTACGGAGGGGGGGTCTCCTCCAGTTTCTTTGGCTCGTGCTCCTTCCGGGGGTCCCTCCTGAGGAGCAGAGGTCAGAGGTCAATGCCCCGAAATTCCCGGTGCCCGGGGGGGTTTCCCAGCTCCGGAGGGGGCTCTGGGGGGATGGGGGTCTCACCTCTCAGGGTCCCCCATTCCCGTGGGGCCGCGGCTGCAGCTCCGGCCCTTGGAGCTGCTCTCCCGACCCCCCTCCGGCTTCAGCTCCTCTGCAGGGAAAGGGTGGGGGGGGTTACAGCCCCCAAAACCCCCTGAGCCCCCCAAGCCCTCCTGAGCCTCCCAGCAAGGCCTCAACATCCCTGGAACCCCCTTTAAACCTCCCCACAAAACCCCTCAACCCTCCCAGATCCCCTAATACCAACCTCCCCCTGAGCCCCCCATAAAGCCCTGAGCTCCTCCAAAATCCCCCAACCCCCCCCTAAACACCTTCTGAGCCCCACAAGTGCTCCCAAGACTTCCCCAAATCCCCAAAACCCACCCCAAGCTTTCCCAGTCCCCTCCTCCCATTCTCACCTCTCCTCTGGGGGGTCCTGGGGGGGCCCCCATCATCTCCAGGAGGGAAGGGGCCAGGGGAGCCCCCACTGGGGAGAGAGAAAAGGGGGGGAAAGGGCATCAGGAGGGTCCCTGGAATGGCCCCATTCCTAGGAATGGGGGAATGGAGCATGGGAATGTTGGGATGGGGCCTAGGAATGTCCCTGGGCCCTGGGAATGTCAGGATGGGGCACAGGAACATCCCTGAGCCACAGGAAATTTGGGATCAGGCACAAGAATGCTGGGATGGAGCCCAGGGACACACCTGAGAATGGTGGAAGGGGGCACAGGAAGGTCGGGATGAGCAGAAGAGCCTCCATGGGCTGGAGTGTTGGGATGTGCCAGAGAACACTGGGATGGGGCATGGTATTATCGGGATGCGTGGGCCACAAGAATGTTGGGATGTGCCAGAGACTCCATGGAATGGACCACAGAACACTGGGATGGTGCACAGGAACATCTCTGTGACACAGGGATGCTGGGATGGGCCTTAGAAAGGTTGAGATGGGTGGCAGAAATGTTGGGATGCACTAGAGGATCGCCCCTGGGAAGTCAGGGTCCCCTTCTCCCAGCCCTTGGGGTTCTCCACTAGGGAAAGCCAGGGACCCATGGAAGGCTTTGGGCTGGAAAAGGCCCTCCCTGGTACACTCACCTGGTCGGGGAGGCTTGCTCCAAGTCAGAGCTCTGGGAATTGCCAGGGGGGTTCTGGCTGCTCCGCTTCATCCAGGCATTTTCCTTGGGAGGGGGCGCCGGCATCACTTTTGGCTTTTCCTCCCGAGATTTGGGGGGCGGTGAGGGTGGCTCCTCCTCTTTTCCTAGGGGCTCATTTTCCAGGGATTTCTCGCTCTCCCTCCTCCGTGTGGCTAGGGAGACACAAATCCGTGTAGCAGCTGCCCCCCACCCCGGGCCAGGACCCTGCGGCCGCCCCAGATCCCGACTCACTCCGGCCGGTGGGGCCGGAGCCCGCGGACGTTCCCGGGGGTCCCGTGGGGCCGCTCTGGGAGGATTCGCTGCCTGTCCGGGATCGCTCCTGGTTCTCCTCACTTCGCCAGCTGGGATGCCTGGAATAGGATGGAAATAAGATCAGGGGACTGGGAAAGGGCTGCCCCATCCCACCTGTCCCATAGGACGAACACCATCCCACCCAAACCACTCCCAAGGGATCATTCCCACCCATCTCACTTTTCCATGGGGTCCATTCCCTGTCCCTCCCATCTCTCTGTGGGGATCAGCCCTGAATTTCCTGAGGAATCATTTCCATCCTCTCCCACCCCTCCGTGGGGATCATTCCCTACCCATCCCCACCCTTGCCACTGGATCATTCCTAGCCAATACCCCCTTTCCCAAGAGACCCTCACCTTTTGGGTGGGATCATTCTTCGCCCATCCCAACACTACCAAGTGATCATTCCTTACCCATCCCACATTTCCCAAGAGACCATTCCCAGCCCTTCCCACCTTTCCAAACCACTCCCTCTTTCCCAAGGCA